GCGGACAGTCGGTCAGTTCCTGTGTCCTCACACGCCACTGTCTCTCGCTCTACAAGGTAAGGCGGACAGTCGGTCAGTTCCCGTGTCCTCACACACGTTAGTAGGCATCAGCAGAATCAGGACCCACAATGTGTACTTGTACACTGTCCTCCGAGATCGCCAGGCACTGCACAGGCACGCAGACTGGAGCAGGTCCGGACGGGCTGCTGGGCTCAGAGCTGTCCGGAGCAGGGCTGGCCCCAGGCAGAGCAGCAGAGCACAGCCCAGCCTCCTCCCCCACCTTGTGCATCATGCAGGTATTGAAGCTTCTGTTTCCATTTAAAAACCACGCCGCCTGGGACACGGAACTGGCAGGGCTACATGGAGGACAGAAAGGGCTCCAGCCCCAAGTTACCTCCAGCTCCAGAGCCACCTCCTCGTATTTCTCTTTCGGTACCATCGACTTCCCTTGAACTGCCATCTGTGGAAACGCGACAAAACAGACAAGTGCTTTGGAACGTCCGCCAGCCTGGAAACGTACACACGCCGACAGGGTGAGTGCACGATGAAGTCCACATCTGACCAACACTCGTGGATGCCTGCAGAAGCTCCTGTTAGTGTCCAATTAAACCGTTTCATTCGCCACGACTAGCGTGGGCGCTATTCGTTTCTTCAGGTCGACGGAGGCGTAATACAATCGCCGATCCGACATGCACCTCGTCGTGACGGCTGTTTCACTGGTGCCGCACTCGCGGAGACGGCCCTGAACCTCACCTTCTCCCTCAGGCCGAGGATGATGCTCTGCTGTGTCTGGATGACGTCCCGCATCTGATCGTAGACCAGCCGGCTCGCACCCGGCCCGTCCCCCCGCATAGCGACCTGTCCTGCCCGACTCGCACCCGGCCCGTCGCCCCGCATAGCGACCTGTCCTGCCCGACTCGCACCCGGCCCGTCGCCCCGCATAGCGACCTGCCCTGCCCGGCCTGACACAGTCCGACTCGCCCCAACGGCAGCCGCGGCTCCCCGTTTAAACCGCGTCGTCTCCTAGAAACCGGAGCTCCGACAAGCTCGCGCAAGCGTGGGCTGTCGGGAAATAACACAGGAACCGTAAAGGGCAGAATATAAACGCATGCCGGACAGATAACAGGATCCCAGAGACTCTATACATATATCGAAATGCAGGCTAACATTTCTAATCGTCTCACCTGTATTGATATTTCTTATCCTTTAGTGGTTGTTAATATAAGTGGTAACTGCAGCACGGTAAACAATACGAGCTCTATTCATTCACCTACTCTTTACGATTCGTTTGCGTTCTGAACAATACGGTACTGCTCACAGAGGCTGAGGTTTGTATCGAGGTGTCCGAGGGGAGTGTATTACTGAAACCCCTCACTCGTGAATGACGCCTTTATGCATAAACCCACCTAGAGTATCAACCACAGTACATACTGTACATTGTAAGGCATGCAAATACTGAACTACTTGGCAAAGTGAGGGGATGAAATAAAAAGATGAAGTAAAGTTTTCGCCATTTGGGGTGTGGTCTGCACCTTCTAGGTGCTCTGGAAAATGCAACACTGGATTTCTTGTTTTGAGTGCAGGTAAGGTTCTGGCAATGCAGCTAACACAGCCTGCAGTATTTAAACGGCATTTACCGCAGTCATGGTCTAAATTAGTTTAACACTTCGTGAGGAAAAGGCACGGGTTTTCCATTGCAGATTTTAAAGATTAAAGCCAGAAAGTGCCTCTTCCACTTTTCGAAGTGATTGAGGTACCAAGGGATCTCCTCACCAGGGCCTGGCTCTCAACAATCTCATCCTGTTGAGCCTCATCAGATCCAGAATTATGTAGACAACATTTCTGACAGAATCCTCTTGTGGGACACCAACGCCGTGATCGATGCTTCTTGAAATTCACAACTTCAGGACACAGGGATTACACTGCAAGATTTTTTTTTATTAAACCAGCACAAAGTTTAGGAGGGGCTACAGGAAGCTATTCGTTAAGTGATCATTGGACTTCCAAGCAAATAAAATCAATACCAGGGTGAAAGAGGTGGTGGGGAAATATTGAAGCTGTAGAGATACTTGCTGGGAATTATACAAACACACGTACTGTAGGATGGAGACACAGCAAACAGGATTACAATTTTTTAACAGTCCATATTTAGGTAAGACAACTAATTTTGTCACTGTTTTCAAGATGGAACTGAAAACCTCTGCATGTTATTTTAATAACTTGTATTTAGGTTACCTAAAGAAAATAGTTTAAGCTAATTATAAATACTAAGTAATGCTTAATATGGTGAGAAGCATGCACTGTAGGGAAAATTAAAAACAAATCACTTTTTAAAATGTCCTTTTTACTCTTCAGACATGTTATATTATTTTTATAGTTCTGGCTTTCTCAGTTTGAAGCATTTGTCTAATTTTCCGCTGATGATACCGAACAAATATAATTAATTATAATTAAAAGCACCTTGCACATAACTTAAAGAAAAAACAAGTCATTAAGAAACAGAACCAGCACTCCAGCCCCCTCTAGTGTTCACAATCCTGAAACGATGAAGCAGAACCCCCCAGTCTGGCTTCCTCAAGCTCATCCTGGGAATCCCCTGTCAATCCAGGATTCTGGCTCAACCAGAGCCTGATCAGGTATCTTCACATCTGATCTCATTCACACTGCAAGTACTCAGCTAACACCCGACTTTACACACGTAGGGGAAAAACAAAATGACGAGCAGGTGCTGGTTGAGTCGAGAGACCCTCGGTATAAGAGCCCGGGACGGAGGACACAGGCCGTTCAGCTGCTGAAAGGACTGCTTCTGGATCAGCACATGGGAACCCCAGCATGCAGACCCTGTAGGCTGGGTGGGAGATGTTCTCTGCAGACTTATGTCACGAACCTTGTCTTGTACAGTTAAAATGTTATTAAAAAGTAAAGCACAGAGCAACTCACTGGGTAGTATCAGGGGAACTGTAGGATGAACTTTCGACTGGACAATGTTCCAATCTTAGAGGACAGCGGCTGACCCTTAGTATTGTATGAGCAGGCTTCACCTTTACAGTCTGCAGGAAGTGTATGAACCCAGTGGAAAGTAACAAGGCCTAGATTGCAATCAGTCCTTTCTAACACTGCGGCTGTTTCTGTAAGGCTTAGACTGTTTCCTTCACCCTGGTTCTAACAAGTGACACAACCATCTTCTCAGAAAGCCAGGAACCAAGCAGGAATTTGAGACAAAGGGCAGGTCGAGGAGGAAAACTGCTGAAGGGGGAGGAATCTTGGTGCCGAATTCAGAGGAAGCACAGAAGGCGGCAATCTGGTCACACGTGGAAAGATGTAGAAATAAATTTGTCGATGACTGAACGCTCGGGGAAAAGCGCAAAGCCAATTTCAAGGTAACCTTGGCTCCAGCTGTCTTTCTGGCACAGGAGTCGCAGTGAGAGGACACAGGAAGGGCAGTTTAATCATGGCCAGAGAGCAAATAAGGGCTATATCTCAGTTTGAGATTGATCTTTGATCCTCATTGCTCTGACATGTTTCCTTAGGAGGTGTTATGTGCCCTGCTGGACAAACATGAAGCTCTCTGAGTGACACTGAGGGTGTCAGAGGTGCTACAGTATGTGCCCTGCTGAATGTGCATCTGCAGGTGACACAACAACCTGTACCTGTAATGGACATTGGCTGTGGGCATTATAAGGGGACTAACACAGAACACAGATAAAACTAAGATAAAGAAAATACAGCTAAATCGTGTAGAGGCAGTTATAGATTTGCCTGTAATAGAAAATCCTGTTATCTGGAATTTAATAATTAAAGAGACTATCTTTTTGCTCCTTTCCTCCTGGTTTTTCACTTAAATTGCTGCATTACCACAATTCCAAAGTCTTTGCATTCAACGCTACAGTAGGATTTGTGCACGTTTGCTAATAACCTAAGAGGACTGAAAGCGCAGATCTGATGAACGTACTTGGCCTGTGTCCTGTTGGTGTCTACCTTTCAGTAGAGATCAGACATCTAAGTTCTGAGCAGCAAATGACTAATTTATTCCATTTTAATGGAAGTGCTGACATTTATATTCACAATAACACAATTCATTTTAGCAATAATACAAACATGTTAAAGGAGAACTGCAGTCCCAATTTCTCAAGACTGGTTATTAAATCTTGGTAACAAAATAAGTTAATGGCATTGCAAAATTTTACAAATTCCAAGTTAAGCACAAAGTTGTGAACGTTGTTCAAAGTACTGTACTGTATTGTACTGAAAGTACTGTATTGTCGCCATGTTGTCGCAAACCTGTGGTCTCTCCATGGGCGAGAGCGAGAGTTCATGAGAACTGTGTCGTGAAACGGCCCTTCCTGCTCACTAGTCTCTGTGATGACTAATGTACTGAGATGTATGAGCGAATAAGTACAGGTTGTGCAGCAGATATTTCACCACAGAAATGTTCCAACGTGATCTACATGCAGAGCTACGCATGTGTCGGCAAAACCATCTCAAAGTCGAGAGAGATATTTCTATTGGATTAAAAGATGTCGTCACCCTGCTTCTATACAATGTAATGGAGCTGCTTCACCTCACAGGAAGTTTTGTTGCCTCATTCTGAATCGCAGAACATGGTGCTGCACAGACCTGGAATCTATTGCATCTATTTTGTGAGGTAAATTGGAGGTTTTACAAGTTACTGTGTACATTGTACATTGTACTTTCATGGTGGTTGAAATGCATCACCAGTGCTGATTTTTTGTAACCCTGAAGTACAAAAATAGCCTTGCAGTTCCCCTTTAAGGATTTTAAATAATCTGTTTCAATTGAGCTTTTAAACAGTTATTTGGTACACCCAGGGTGTTGCACCTTATTCTTTTCAAAGTCCAGAGCCCATAATTGCTTGTCCGGTGCCTGGCACACCTTAGTGATGGTTAGCCTGAGTGCTGCGCCCCGTCCAACCCGCACTCTTATTGCACTGCTCCTCCTCTCACTCACCAGCTGCCAGAGCACAGCCATTCACAGCATTTAAAACACTCCACTCGGAAACGTGGGGCTGCAGGTAACGGGAGAGAAAAAACAATAAAACCTTAACTCATAATAGCCCATAGTAGTCCTGCTCCTTAATATAAGGAAATAAAAATAGTATTTCCCAAAACAAAACAAAAAAAGCATCTTCTTATGGTGCCAAAGTTGTCCTCCACACAAACCACAGACCTACTGCACATTCCAAAGGAAAGAGAGCCGAGAGCCCTCTCACTGACCGAACTCCCTCTCGAGACACTGAACCCACACTGCAGCTGGCTCGTGTGCAATCTAAGGTATTTACAAACTGACAGCAGGAGATCAGTCAGGTCCACGCCCCGGCGCTGAAGGGGAGAAGCAGCTGTGTGCCTGCTCACTCCCCGCGCTGCCTCCCCGCCAGCCGGTACAGTTTGTCGCAGTTGTCCAGCTTCATGGACTCGGCCTTCTGCTTCAGGCGCTCATCCCGGTACAGCTGGCCCAAATTGGCCAAGTCCGATTCTGGAAGAGAGCGAACAGCGATTCAGTCCCAGGAAGAGCACACTCTCCCGCACGCAGCTGCCCCAGCCTCCCAGACAAGATCAAGTCACAAGATGGGAATGCTACTGTCAAGAGATCAGCTAATGAGGTCCGCCTAAAATTCAAACAGAAATTATCAGCAATGTGGTTTTATCATTAGGAAATAACACTTTTTTCTTATAAAAATGTCACTTTAATTTTAGTAATCGGAAGCAGAAGAAATTGTGGTGGGCTTCATATGTTTGGTACTTTGCACTGCTTTCAATTCTTGCAGTCTGAGCTCCAACACGTAGGCTGAACTGTCCCTGGTCCTGCCTACTGTCCCCCCACAGCACAGGGGAAAAACTCATCCGACTGACCTGCCTAAGGAAGACCAGTAATGTGACTGGATCTTGACGTCACCTGGATTCAACAGACCCTAAAGAACCCAGGCAATCCCCTCGAACCAGATAAGGTTGATGTATATGAGATGAAACGGCATGTGCAGTCTAGACAGCAAGACTGGAGCTTGAACGATCATCGCTTCTTGCACTGCACATAAAACAACAGGAGTCATGGATTTCTCCACCAGCGCCATCTTAAGCCTGGCTCTCTGGCACATCAGCATGTGGGGCTCATCACCTCCCTCAGGCCTTAAACAGAACCAGTGGGACAGGAGCCGAAGGCTTGGAGCAAGCCCTTTTCCCAGAGCAGGATCCCAGTTTCGAAAGAGAGGCAGGAAACGTTTCAAAGGGAGGTCCATTTTTTATGGCCCTAACACTTGCTCGGTGGGGACGAACGGTTTGAGGAAAATGCCTTACTCTGCTGCTTCTCCTTCCAGCAGCTGGTCTGCAGGTAGTCGATATAGTCGCTCTCGATGGACTTCTCCAGCTCTCGGAGCGCGGCGCCCTTGTACTCTTTCTCAAAGCTCTTGTCCACATAATAGGGCACCCCCAGGTGCTGCGTCTCCCTCGACACCACGAGCCCCAAGGACCTGCAGGCAACACCACACAGCTACAGCTCACCTGGACTCGCCGCCCAGCACACAGGATCAGAAAACAGATCTATCACTAAGGCGTTTACTCTCGAAAAGCTCGTTTTGTTTGCCTTTTTGCCTGCTGCCAATACAGAATGGTAAATTCAAAGAACTGTCCGAATCTTTAAATAGATTTTTATACCCCTAGATCAGGCCCGCCCGTTGAACTTCTCTGAGTGGCCCGCAGCTCACTCCTGTTTGAATCTCAAGGGTTACTTTTTGCATCAGATATTGAAAATCTTCCACCAGTGGCCTCTACTTGTTAGCTCTGCTGCTCTCCCTCAGCACTAACGGTCAAATGCAGAACAACACCTATTGCACGATGCATTTTACTTTTAGCCCATCAGACGTCAGCTTTAGCCCAGGTTACATACGCCTGTGCCACAACCGATTCCCCCCTGTGAATTCATTAGGATTTTTGTTGCCTATCGTGATTGGCTCAGTCACGCAAATGACGTCTAGTGAAAGCGGGTCATGATTTCAAACGGCTCTAAAAGTTGTTACTGACAAGAAGCTAACTAAGTGATTCCTGCCATGTTGACAAAAAAGAAAGATCGATGCAGAGAGTCGAAAATTCAACGAAAAATGGTCAGGGGAGTACTTGTGTGTCCCTTGGAAATAAAAGGTAATGTGTCTTTTCTGTCTGGAAACAATCGCCGGGGTTAAAGAATACAACATAAAAAGGCGTTACGAGACAAAACGTCAGTATTTTAGAATACACAGGAGACGGACGGAGGGAAAAATTAGAACAGTTGAAAAGTCGCTTCAGGGGCAGCAAAAACTGTTCAAGAGAAAATTCAAATAAAATGTTGCAGCTACCTGAGCTGGTTAACGAGTATCACAGCTTCAAGCAGCAGCTGGCCGACCCTTCACGGGCGGCGAGTTTATTCAGCAGTGTGTGCTATTACAGTTGCTGAGTTTATCGGCTAGATAGAGGATTTCACTCAGGTGTCCCAGCAAGGTTAGTAAAATTGTTTTAGTGGCCCTTGCTCTAAAAAGTTTGCCGACCCCTGTCCTAGAGATACATGGTTCAGCATTTTCAGCCAAAGGTCTTGCTCACAAATGCATTTTTTTCCCCCTCTGGTTATGTGTTTTAAATTTAAAACTTATAGGTGAAAGAATAGCTCTAATGCCACTTCTTTCTGCAGAGTGTGCATTTCACAAGACAGCCAAAGGTCACGTCTTCAATGTTGTTAGGGCAGGAAATGCTAATCTTAATGAGAGTCCCATGTGGCCAATGAAAAAGGAACAATTCTGAAGGTGCCAAATCAGCAGAACTTTGCAGCATAAGGTGAATGTGGTCACTTCAACAGTTACTCTACTGTCTATGCGGACAGGAAGACCAGGAAGGCACATTTGTACAAGAACGGACAGACAGGACAGAATGTGTCATCTCCATGTGATTATGGATTATTTCTGCAGTGTCATGTTTTGTGTGGTTGCTGGGTCAGCTTAATTTATCTTAACAGCTTAACTCCTCACTGAAACACTCAGATCTTGCCTGAGAAGGCAAAAGGTTTTTGTAAAAAAAAAAACTCTTCCAGCAAGACTGTGTGTTTGGACACCTGTGTGGTGTGCACAAGTTTGCAAGTATTTTGGTGTGCAGAGATACTTGCAGAGCAGCAGAGCAGCCTGCCTTAATATGCCACGCTGAGAGCATTAACAGAGACTGACTGCACCTGTCGGGTTCAAACAGGTGGGCAGAGCACATGCTACTGCGCCCTCTTACTCTCTGGGCTCTGCAACATTTGAAACTGGAAACCAGTGCCGCACGGAGCTCCACACTCTCGTGACAGCAGCATTAGGAAGAGTCATTTCAGCACGGGGGAGTGATTCCGGCTCTCGGTTTCAGAGGCCAGAGAGAAGATCTGGACATGAAGAGTCCTGGGTGCTGGATTCTGCCTGTGGCCCCTCAGCCAGCGGCAAACTCATTGAAAGACACAGAAAGAGCCGAAACCGGAACTGATCAGAACGAATAAACGTGAACTTGAACTTCCTGCAGCTCACAGTTAGATTTTGGTCTAATTTTGTGATGATAAAGCAGCATTTCTGTCTTATCACACAGAGAGCTCTCTTCCTCTTTTCACCTCCCACCACAGGATGCAGCCAAAAATGACAGCTTGACATAAGTGCTACTAAAAGACATAGAAAAACTTTCTCGCGTGTTCTTCCAATGTTGCGAACCCGGATTAATATACCAGTCATGTCTGTTTCATTCCTTTTTTGGTTTCAAGAATTATTATTTTTGAGAACTCCTCCTGAAAGTGCTCTTTTGAAATAGATATTGAGCTGCTGTCATTATTTTGACAATACTGATCTGAACTCCGAAACTGTACGACGTCATCAAACACAACACAGGAATAAAGTTTGTTCATTACAGTCATTTTACAAGGACACTCTGAGTCTAACTCAAATACCTGATAAAAAAAACCTCCAGAGAGCAACAGAGCAACTGGAGACATTCCTGTGCAAATGACTTACGGTTTGTAGAACAAGCTGTAGGGGGGATTGGAGGCCATCAGCTGGGTCACCACAGAGATCAGTATGAGCACAAGCACGGGCAGGAGCTGAAGAAATGCCGTGAATGTGTTCTAGGACAAAGAAGAGCTTGGATTATAAACAGCCTGCTGTGCCCCGGCCTTGAAGTGCCACAGACAGCTGGTCTCACACACAGCCCTTGGGGAGCCAGCCCTGTAGAGCGCAGGCCTCCCCTCTGCACTGGCTACACGACCCAGTGTTTGCCACCGGTCTTTTCAAACACACGAGCCAATACTGAGGTTACACAGCAGGGCTTTGAACAGCCCCAAACGCTAGGTCCCAGTCTCACAGACAAGGACATTGAGGCTGCCCGTCAGAGCTCTTTCATCTAAGGAGCTCCCGTCTCATATTTTCTCACGTCACCTCTCTTCCTAGGGCAATAGAGCCACTGGCGCAGCCCTTCAGCCATCCCGCCCTCACCCGCGGCGCGGAGCGCGGGAGCCAGGCAGACGCCTTCACGATTAGCACACTCCGGCGAGGCCCCCCCCCTCCCATCTCCCCCGCAGCCGTGCGAGACGAGCCGCTCGTGGCGCCACGCCCCCCCCGCCCCCTGCAGGAACCGTTACCTGGCTCTGGTGCTCCACCTCCTCCTCCCTCCTCTCGTTCATGCGGCGGCGGCGGGGCTGGTAGTAGTGGGTGTACGTCGCCCCTCTGTTGGTGTACATGTGAATGTTGCCTGGAAAACACATTCTGTACAGTTAAGAGAAAAAAAAATCTCATTCATATTTTACACTGAAACCCCCTGAGAGGCTTGACACGCTAGTCTCAAGCATGACTGGCAAGGCAGCACACAAATGCCCATTTCCTGCGAACAGCCTAACCCAGCAGGGGGCTGTACGGGCAGGGCCTCTCCAGCCGCTCCCAGTTCTCCGAGAGGTATCCCGGACGTGCTCGTACAGTGCCCCGTGGATGAAGCAGGGCTTCTGGTGCCCGGCGGGGGCTGTGGACCAGGCTGCCGGCAGGACAATGCCATGTCCACACGGGGGCTACGAGCCCGGATCAGGTATTCTTAGGAAGAGTCACAACAGACCGGTCGCAGGGAAATCATCCACACTGAAACGTACGCTTGTGATCTGGATTCGGCTACACGAATACACAGGCATTTAAATACCACTGAACAAGAGAACGTATTTTGACTACTGATAAGTGTTAAAAGTGCAAAATGATCATTTACTTCTAGTGGAGTTTTCTGGAGATGATTCGATGTAGGGATCACTGATTTTCAGTGGTCCTTCCAGATAGCTTTTCATAGCACATTGAATTGGTCCCGTCAAGACAATAATGATCTAATTTAGGCTGAAAGCTAAGCTGGAATGAAAACCTGCAGACCCTGCTCACCAATAACATAACATATAGACCATAACAGCCTCCACTAAGAGCGCTGCAGCTACCCTGGGTGACAGGGCGCGATGGGGGGGGTGGTCAGGTCCGAGTTGCCCACGGTTTCATCAGACAGCCCCTGTGAGCTTGCAGAGCCATCAGTAAGAGCTGCAGCATTCGTCCACCTGACACTTGACTGTGCTGTTTCCGCTGTGAGCTGACAGTGTGAAATGCAAGCGGATGATGACAGGGCATCTTTAGGGCATGTGAGCATGTGATCGAGAGCAGTCTACATCTGGCCCGAGCCGGTGTGGAGGGTATTGCGACAAGCTGAGCTGGTCGGTTCCTAAGAAATGGGACGAGGCCAAGAAAATATGAGTGACTCTAATCGCAGAACTTTTAGAAATCGAAGTTAGTTAAAATAAGAAAAAAGCACAGGCTTAACCAGCTACTGGCACTGCATAGGCAACTGGAGATCTGTCCATCCAATGCAGTGATCTTCACCTCTGGTTATGGAGGGCCTAAACTGTTCAGATTTCACGTGTGTTGTCAATTAGTGGCAAAGATCACATTAAGCCAGCATAACTAAACAGCCTCTTAGAGATCTGAGAGTAACGGAGAGTTTGACTGCACTGAAAACCATAAAGTCTAAAGGGTTTAGAGGAACATGAAGGCACAACTGCTTCTTTAATCGCTTTCATCACAGTCTCATTTATACCGCAGTTCAGGTGGGTAGCTGCGTCAGCACCCGAAGAAGCCGAAACGTTGTGTTTTCTTTCTACTCTTTTCAGCTATACTGTGTTTAGTGAACTGGACTAATCAAAGTGACCATGCTATGCGTCAGTGATTCGCTTCACAGATGCCGTGCTCTCTCTCCTTACTGAACGAAGCCCCTATTCCACACGCACAGGAAGGAAAAGCTCACAGGAGACCGGAAACACCTGCTAGAGGGGTGGGATAAGGAGGTGCAGGATCACCTGTGGGGAACCGCCCCCCGAAGAAGATGTTGAAGAGCTCTTCTGGGGAGATGTCGGCCTCGAAGTCCCTGTAGAAGTTGCGGTGGTGTCGGTGGTGGGCGGGATGGGTGGGATGGGCGGTGCTCTCCATGGGCGGCTCTTCTCCGTACTGGTCGTACTGCTTTCGCTTCTCGGGGCTGCTCAGCACGGCATAGGCGTTCCCTATGGCTGAGGGCACAACCGGAGACGCAGGTCACCTTCCCACGGCGCGCTCGCAACACAAGAGGCAATGACAGATTCACAAGAGTCCTCCCAATTATTCATTTCCTTCCCACCATGTCCATCACACTCCAGTCCCCGAGAGGCACCTCTGTTCTCACTACTGATTCATGTGACAGCAACGGTAAATGCTTTTGACATACAACATGAATGTGTTATGTATGAAAGAATAAAGGGGCAGAGCCAAAAGCACTATCTAGTCCTTGTTATTCCCAGACCAGTTCAGGAACAATAATATCACTGGCACTGAATACCTTTAAAAGCGTCGGTAGCTCCAGGGGCACAGTTTTTGTCTGGATGGAATTTGAGGGCCAGTTTCCTGTAGGCTTTCTTCAGATCCTCATCGCTGGCATCTTTAGTCACACCCAAAATCTCATAGAAGTCCTTGCATTTCTTTATCCTGCAAAAAAAGGAGCACATGCTGTGGTATCACAGAAAGTTTGAGTACAGGGTGTACAGAAAGTTACACAGCCTTCTATGCAAAATCCCACATTTCAGTCAAGTGACTGCCGAGCATGATGCAAGTAGAAAACTGAGCCCCCTCAGTTTGTCTTTCTGGCAACACATAAGTCGAAAATTCGTCCCACTCAGCTCAACAAGTTTAGCGGCCTTTCTTTCAGAGGACACTAGAAACCCCCGTGACAAATACAGAACTGCCATTAAACACTTTTGAAAACTGTAAATGATGACTAGGGCATAATGAAATCCTGCTGGTTCTTCAGTTTAGCCATCTAACGAAAAAACATGCATCGCGGTCACTCTTAGTAACTGTAAATTTTATTTTATTTTTTCAGCCTGGTGATTAAAATTACAGTTCCTTACTGCAACCCTGGGACGCAGGTCCAATTCCAGACTAATAAAGCCTTGAGATGCTGTGTTCAAGAGGCTAGAAGTGATTTCAGCAAAAATCTGACAGTAAAAAGTAAAGTTCATAGTAAAATAATCACAAATTTGAAGTATTTTGCTGCAGTACACTACCCTACCCTGCATTATCCGATGGCTCTACACTTCTGGAAACACAGAGTTTTCTGTCTTGGAATCCCAAATCCTGCTGTGATCTGAAAGTTGCAATGTGGAGGCAAGAGAAAAGACAACAGCAGAGGGCGCCCGTGAGCGGCGCTGTACCTCAGGACACCCTGCCGCTGCTCCTCGGTGTAGCTCTTGGCCTCCGCCTCTCTTCCTGAAAGAGCGTCGTCCTCGTCGCTCGGCCGCCGGCTGTGGAACTCGGGCACGCGGCCCCCCTCCCCTGCCGCACTCCCATTCCTCACGATGGCGTCAATTAAGGCTAAAAAGAGAGAGGAGGATTAGTCACACAGTGTCTGCGGTCTTCACACAACCACCACGACCAGCCACCATCCCAGACTGCCTGCACTCTCCCACTCCCTGTGCCCCAGTGACAAGGGGATGATCACTGCCGTGGCGGCTCAGCTGGGTGGAAAACACTCCCATCTTTAAAACCTCAAAGTTTTCAGGGCACCGCTCAGCGCCCCTGCGTCACCCCGACCGCTCAGCGCCCGTACAGCACCGCGACTGCGTCACCCACAGTGAAAACCACCCCTCAGCCCATGTGCCTTACTACAGGCACCAATTTCACTCATTTATTACTTCTTAGTTAGACGGAATCCTTATTATCTCACTTCTGACTGAGACAGAATCCCCGTGAAGGTGCTCAGTGACTCCTCACTGTTGGGGGACGGGGTCACTTGTTAATACTGCCCAAAGCTCACTGCAGACACACTAGGCAAGGAAGCTTCTGGAGCAGCACGGCTGCCCCTGACTTCTGCTCTGCCAGCTTTCTGTTTGAAACTGTTCTTCCTGGAAGGACTCCTTATCGTGACACATCATTCTCAGCATCACAGACCAACAGAAAAACCAGCCAGGCTGGAAATTCACATGACAGGAGTTTCTGTTGGCCTGCAAGTTTCCTGGAGTTGATACAGAAAAAAAAGGCAGAAAAACATCTTTTACCACAGGGCTTAAATTGACATGTATTAATTTTCTTCTGGGCCCTTTGTGCAGTTATTGTGTTCTGTGGTGTGGATTAATAGTACAAGGGTCACCTAGAAAGTAATGGCAGTTCCTACAGAAAACAACGAACCAATCCATGCTGCGAGCTTAACTTGCCAAGTTCTTGTTGTTCAAGTTCAGAAATGTTCCTAGAGACACCCCCTGCAATTAGCCATCAAACATCATGAAAGAGGGGCATCACTATTTGGGAGCCTGTCAAAATCAGGCCCCTATGTGAGGCTTGAAGGCGCAAGTAAGGGCTGCTGTAACTGCAAGAGCTTCGCTCCTGCAGACTCTCACAACCCTACTATTGCAACAGCTGGAACACAGAACCTCTACACATGCTTGTTTTCTATGGAAATCGGTATCATTGACTCAAACTGGAAGGTGGCAGGAGTGTGCCAGAAAAAAAAGGGCATTTTTGACCACCAATAGTTATCAAACTCCACAATATCCATCAAGGGACAATGCTTTGCCTTGGCCTCAGTCACAGCTCATCCTGCACGGTATAATCTGTTCCATAAAAAGGGACAGATCGATCAAATGGTCAAACAAAGCTGAAAAACACATTTGGCCTCAGTTTAACTTCATGCATCTCTCCCTCAATATATAAAGCACTGTGTGAAACGTTCAGAAGGTGATGCTGGCCTGTGCAAAATAACTCCTAAAATCTGCGAGGAATCGCTGGCAGCGGGCGGCTCCCACAGCGCGCCCAGCCAGACCAGCCGGCCGCGGGCCCCAGCCTCCACCACTGTCTGCGGTGCAGAGTCACTTCCTGGTTCTCACCACGCGCGGCTGCGGCGGCCGGAGCCCCCGGCCACCTTCCCGGCTTTCATCTCCTGCCAGGAGTCTGGAGGAGCGTCACTGTGACGCCAGCGTTCACGTAAGAGCGTCTGCGGCAAGCTCACACACTACATCCGCACACGGACACCGGAAGAGAGGACTGTGGGCTTTAACGTACACAGCTTGGCACTGCCCGGCCCGCCCCCGCCGGTCCGCCTCGGTGCAGGGGCGCAGGGCTTCCTGGAGTGAGTCACACCTGACCTCAGCGCACAACACGCGCTTCCCTCTTGGCCTGGACACGGGCACGGGCACAGGCACAGCCACACCGCCTGCGTCCTGCTGCAGGACAGAAACGAGCCCCATGAATTACTGACTTTTAAACCCACTGGGTGAGTATTTTTACATCTGAACTGAAATACAGGAAAAACAACCCATCGTTGGGACCTGGTGACATATTATAACACCCAGAAGGCTAGCGGTTTTAAGGTAGTACTGCTTCTTCACTGCCCTTCGGTCCTGGGTTCGCTTCTGTCCATATGGGTGACAGCAGGTGCACCCATGTTCTCCCACTTCCCAGTGACACACTGTCTTGGGTAACTGGTGTCCCCGTATGTATGTGTGCAGCAGCAATGGGCGAGATCCGATCCGGAGGCTATGAAAAAGGTTACAGATGAGACGAGGCTGTTCAGCCCATCAAGCCTCCAGGCAGCAGCTAACTGACTGGCATCAGCAACAGGCTGGGTAGCCACACTCCAAAAACTCCACCTCTGTGTAACCAAGTCACTCCTGACCTGACTGGAGGACACCATCCAGCTGTTTCTTGAAAAAAACCAAGAACAGGCTGGGTAGCTAATTCTGCACTCCCACAGGACATACACATACTGTCCAGCGAGTGCTCTACAGGGCCCTTAAGAGGAATAATCAGCTCTCTGATAATGGACATATTTCTTTATGATTTTCATTTTACCATACCGGTTAATAATATTCTATTTTATTAAGTGAAAGGCATGTCTTGGAGACAAAATGTAACTAATGCAGTGGGACAGCCTACAGAAAGAGGTGCGAGCAAAAAGAAATAAAAGATTAATACAGATCAGCCGCTATAATATAGACTCCTACCCTAATTCATCTCCTAAAAATACAACTGTCTATAAGCTGAGTCATACAGCTCTACAGCACATGCAAGGCTATAAAAGGCTTCCTTCATCACATGGGAAATCACATGTGCATTGGGACTCAACTAACCTGCCCATCCAGAACACCTGATTCATTTACTGATGAACATCACATTCACCCCAGCAGAACAGGCTGAACACTGCCTTCCTTCCCTAAACCAACTGACTGAACATCACTAGTCAGATGTTCTTTTATATTTTTTAAATGTGGAGATGTTCCACTGTCACTGAATTAAAATGGAAGTTGTTAACTGAAGTGTGGGAGGGATAACAATGACAATCAATATCTTGTTGTCCCTCGAAATTTCTCCTTAGTAAAGAAATTCTCTATAACCTGCAAAAACTGCACTGTCCTAAGATTATTTAACAATGTGCCTGTAAAACCTGCTTAAAAAGTAACCTAAATGGTGATGTTCAAGTTAGGTACTGAGTTAACACCAGCAAGAAGCTATGATTTAATTTACCGAAAAGCCTGCAGATCATCTGCAACTAAAAACCAAAGGTTTTTGGTTAAGTAGCACTACTAAAAGTTTACTTGTACAAGAGATAAGGATAAAAAACTATTCAACTGCAAAACTAGAGCCCTTTCACCCAAAAATAACCTTCAAACTGAGTCACCCGTAAAATTAATGACAGGTTTCAAAGGAGAAAATTAATATTTTTACATCTCCGCTGAAGGCAGAACACCCATCTATCACTGCTGACCCCTCCATGGGGAGAGACCAGCAGCCAGTCGCAGCCAGTGGGAAAGAACAGACCTTCCTGGCGTTAAACAACTGGGTGAGAGTTCCTCTCCGCAGTGTTTAAAACCATCAGGAGGACTTTCCGGTCCCGGTGCTTCTGCGCGTACTGGGCTCAATGGACAACAAGCTTCGGGACAGAGCCGTGATGCAGGGGGCTCCCTCCTGAACTCAGTCTGTCCCCCCCGTGGGCTGTGCACACGCCGCGAGCACTCGTGGGGCTCCCACGGGAAGCGCCGCCGACACAGTCAGGGGTGCACAGTAGGGCGCAGTGCCCCGCCGCGTGACGTGGGCACATGGACGCCCTCATGACGCCAAAGCACATAAAAGACCTCAGAGAGGCAAGTTCATTCATCGCTGCGTTTGAAAGGCCTGCGGCTACAAAAAAAGGAAACTAGCATTTCCACGCAGATCGAGCCTCAGGCTCAGGGGCAGACTCGTCACTCCGGCGCAGGATCGCGACTTCAGGCCAGCGTGCAGCACTCCTCCTGCGCTACAACACGCTATGGGTCACCTAGTAAGAGCCCAGCTGACGCCTCAAACTGGGGAACGCTTACTTAAAAAAAACGCAATAAGTAAAAACGAGACTGTTGCTCAGTCCCGGTTGTAGATAAACAGCAGAACTGATTCTAGAGTGCGTCTTTAGCAGACACACACAGCGGCCGACCCCCGTTCTCTGTTCCAGACAAAGCCCGACAGATCCGTCATACAGACCCGACCCCTCCGACACCCCTGCCTCTGGCCTGGACTACTGGGCTAGCAAGAGCTCTCAGCGGACACCAGCGGCTGCAGACCGCTCTGCAAGCGAGTCTTCACATTACTACTCGCCTTTTCTTTGAAATAAAACTGCACACTCGCAATGCGTGTTACAGGGATTGATAACGGAGGCGCATTACATTTCTACTAACACAGAGAGACATTAAAAGCCAGCTCAGAAGTCAGCATGATCAGTTCGCGGTATCGCTGACAGCCCCGTACTCCTTCAGTATGCTATTTGTAGCCCGGCACTATCAGAATGTGCGAACCGTCCTTCACAGAGCTACATGTACAGCTGAATAGTTATCTCCTCGGGATGGCTTAACTGTTGCCATCGATCGTGCAAGGGACCCAGTTCTTAAAACTCCTCGTTTTCAACCATGCGCCTCTCCCGTTTAATACTGCAAGAACAAGCATGCCATTGGGTAACCAGCCATACGAACGCTACAAGATGCACTGAAACAAGAACTGAACCATGCAGAATGGCGCTGCTGTAGCGAATTACCTCTCGCTCTAGTGCTGGGGTATACTTTCTGGGCCTCCTGCAACAACTGTAGAGCTTTCTCTCTTTTCCCGGAGCGCAAACACTGCTTTGCCTTCTCTATTAACCTGTCCGACTCCTCCTTTTCCATCTTGTGTCTCTCTCACGACCCCCAGATTCGCCACAGACACCTGGATGGTAACGACTAGGGGTGTCTCGGTGTGCTGTAACTGTAATGTTTACATCCAGAGCTCTGTCAGATTCGCATTACTTATTCTAAACGGTACCATTCTGGTAAACCTCCACCGGTCAGAACGCGCTTGTGTCTCAAAAGAAACAACAAAAACAAAAAAAAAAACCTCAAAATCCTTGCGCGCAACAAGGAGGAATCTAACACCGACCCCAAGCAATTTCACATTTTCCCCAGTTCGACCGGAAGCGGAAACCGCTGCGGCGAGGACGGCACCTGCACGAGCCAATGGCCAAGCGGCGTGTCTCGAGATGGGCAGACCCGCGACGCCAGTCCGCGACCGTGCGTGCGATATAAATACAGTATTTATAATCAGCGTCTAATTTTTATTCCTGTTACCTATTCCAACATAATTTTTGTAACTATTTTGTTGTTAATCTTAAATTATTAGAGTCACAATGTACATAAAAGGCATAACGTCACACAGGTGTCACTCAAATCGGTAGTTTTTTTTATGGTAAATGAATCACATTCTTATGCTTATGAGAACATAAAGCAGGATACAGTGTGGGCCGTGTAACTCGTCTGGTTGCTAGTAGTGCAGAGAACCGAGGATCTAATCCAGCGATTTTTCTGGAAGAAGGCGGGTTTTCAGTTTCCACCACATGACCGGGCAGCTTGTTCCCCACCCCCACCACCCTTTGTGTACAGAAGTTCCTCCTGCTCAGTCATGTGCTTCCGTGTCTTTCACACGTCTGTCCTGACACACACGCCGCATTAAATATCTCCTGCCTGCTATTTGAGAATTAATATTTCACTCAACCATCCATTTTGTAACGGCTCTATCCAGTACAGGGTTGAGGGGAACAGAAGCCAATCCCATCAAGCAGTGAGGGCCAGGCGGATTAATCTTCTGAAATTCAACATACGGTTTGCCCATAAGGTGCATACTGCTCAAAGAGCTCTAACAGGTTAGCTCCACTGGCTTACCTTTTCTGAACATCTACTTGTCCAGCAAAAAGTCTCTAACTCTTCAAAATGAGTTTCATTTCATTTAACACAATAAATTTGTTTATATTTAAGGATAAAGAATAACGGGGGCTGGATCTGTAAAGAAAGCTGCTTTGACCTCCAGCAGAAGCCCAGGAGTCGGATGTTGTCGGACAGCTGGACACTTTACATCTCACTCCGATGTCCCAGTTTCCTCTCTGTGACAGCTCAGGCTTCTAAACTCTCCTCTGTACACAGAATGGACTACAGGTTTTTCAATCTGTATGTGTGTATCTATTTGTACAGTGTAGAGACTAACTGGCTAGACTGTCATTTTCCTGTTGTTTCCATGACCAGAGCAGACGAGAATGAACATGAGTACACACTGAGAATGTTTGTACAAATACATTAGAATCAGGCCGTGTCGCTCACTGCTGAAATGTTCCACCTCTTTATCAGACACAGGCTGCGGTATCTCTCACACAGAGACAGGCTTCTCATGCAGCATCTGCACTTCTGCTTCCACCTGCTGTACGCTTCCTTCCTCTTTCTTGCTCTTTTAGTGACCACTGCCACCCGATTACACAGGTCTGGGAGGATGTGCTCCAGAGTGCACAGAAATGGCTTTATCTGCGCCTCGCAGCTAAATGTAAATGATTATCCAGAAACGCATATACAGTACAGGCATCCTTTTCCAGTTGGTGGACTACAGCCACTTTCACCCCAAAGGGTTGCAAAATACCTTATCCATCGGAGGAGACCCACTTCATCCACCGCCAAAGTTTAACCCCCACCTGAAGACACAGGGTGATCATTCTGCACCAGCGTTCCCACATGGGAGACACACAGTGATCATTCTGCACCAGCGGCCCCACCTGGAGACACACAGTGATCATTCTGCACCAGCGGCTCCACCTGGGAGACACACAGTGATCATTCTGCACCAGCGGCCCCACCTGGGAGACACACAGTGACCATTCTGCACCAGCGGCCCCACCTGGGAGACACACAGTGATCATTCTGCACCAGCGGCCCCACCTGGGAGACACACGGCGCCCATTCTCCACCAGCGGCCCCACTGCTTGTGCAGATCAGGGGGAGGAGAGAACTTGCTTCAGCAGTGGAAATGGCGAGTTGTGCTCCCTGTGGGATTTCCATCTCTGCAGGCAGATTGTGTTGAGGTCGCTGAAGCCAGCCGCGTGCAGCTCCACGCACACAATACCAGCGGTGCCCTGTTCAGCGGCCAGGGTATGATGTAATCACTGAAACTGCTCAGTGTCAGCGCATTCACATGTTTGTGCAGCCAGTCTATTGAAAGAAAGCCTTCAAAACAGCACTGTAGCCTAGATTCTTAGCCAATTGCCAGCCTCAACTAAACAGATCGACTTTAAATATGCTCCCTCAAGCAGTTCTTTTGTCATTGAACCCTATAACACACTACAGCAGGGAAATAGGAATAGAAAAATGGTACAGTCTGATTTATAACGTGGAGAATACAGAGACCCACGTTCTGTTCTGAAAGTGAAAGTGTACTTTGTTCAGCATACGATTAAAATATTCAAGGAAGCAGTTCTGCCACAGTTACATGGGGATTAATTATGGAGACAGACAGGAAATGCTTTGTCAAAGCATTTAAAAGAAAAGCTTTTGGGATATTGCAGAAAACATTCAGGTTTTTACAAACATGTGATTATGAGCATCTGCCGTCGGAAACAGGCCTGTGACCACTATAGTCATTTGAAAGTTACAAGGCCAGAACTGGTTTCAACAGTCAAAAGGAACAGGGCATGGAAAAACAAAAATATAAAAAAGTATATAATTCCAGGGGTAATATAAACTTTCATTTTTCATTTTATGCCAGTAGCTGTTATTAATTTATTAAACACTGCAGATAATATTCTCGTATTGACTCGTTACAATCAAAAGGTTGTTCGGCTGACGTTTTTGTTTAAAAATGATGTAGATGATGAGGCCAGAGACCCATAGTAACTACAGCTCTACTCTTCAGCTCCCAGCAGGTGATGCCATTAGCCACTTAGGTTACGACAATAGGCTCAGGGCCCTTTTACTGTTTCTACTGAGCACTACACCTGCCATCTGTTTATCGCTGAGCCGAGATGAGCTTGCAAAAGTGAACCATAAGTGAGGCACGTGAGATATAAAATAGCACATTGACATTTCTTTACAAATGTCTTTTTAATTAGCCTTTGATTAGGGGTGGTTGGCAGATCCTAACCAGATTTAGAAAACCTGCATCGCTTGTCTTTCAAATTTAAAGCAAATCCAGAAAGTGCCGTTTTGCGTCCTGTCTCTCGTGCTGCATGAAGTTTCCTGGTTGATGCTCTGTGAAAGAACCTCCCGATTTGAGGGCAAGAGAAAGACATCCACTCTGCTCCTCCTGGTCCTGTAGCTCACAGGCTCTCTTTAGGGCTACAGTACACACAGGGTGCTTTTTCTCTACTGGAGGTTCTTGTTAATACCTTCCTCCCTGTAAACAAACCTGTGTTAAATATTCATTTAAATCTGGAAAGTATTACATTTGCAGTGCTTTTGCCTGATCCGCTACCGATCAATAAAGCATTTGGTCAACTAATTCTTTCTACGCGTCTTTGAGTAAAACTAGCTCTTTTCATTCCATGACTTTGTCTCTTAGATGCTTTTTCTTTACCGGTCTTCTGCCGTTATGCAGTTTGTGTAGTATATCAGTATTATCCCTCATTGCTTTTTTGTTCTGTTCCCTCTCAGTCCTTGTAATGTATACTGTCCTGAGAGGCATTAAAAATCCAACTAGTGCTCAGTTCCAACACTCTTTGGTTGTGTCCTTAAATAACCACTTACTGTGGTATATTTGAACTTACATGAGCAAAGCCAGGAACAACTCCACAGACAGTCTTCTGAGACTTTAGTAAGATCTTAAGGTTTTAAGTGAGGTATTTTAAGGAACAAAGCAGCAGAATATTCATGAATTAAAGGAATATTCCTTCCTAATGCTGATGAGAACTGACGTAGGCAACTGCTGTATCATGTTATACAAAGTTGAACAGCAAGTCAAATTGATACACGTCAGGATTTGAAGACAGAAATATGTCACTCACAAACATGCACAAAAATCCCATGAGACAGAATATACAGCATAAAATCTTTATTTCATGTTCTTTTCACAGTTTTGCAAAATAGTGTAACAAAAACGGCCGTCATTAGCTCAGCTAATTCTCCACACACGTCTGTGAGCGTGACCAGCACACTCTCGTCTTCCTCCTGTGACACCAGGAGGCCCATCGCAGTCTGTCATACCGTCCCCAATCTCTTCTCACACTTCACCCAGACCATCAAGGCACTTTTAATACACTCGCCCCTCGTCAGCAAATACATACACACGGCACTCGACACCACACACACTCAGAGCTGCCAACACAAAGCCAGCAGGGACACTGAAGACCCTGATCTAGGCCAAACGGATCTGTGTGTAATACAGACGACTAATACTGATACAATCATTTGGACACAAACTGCCCCCCGTCACCCAGAAGCCTCTCAGATTCCTTCTGGACCTCCCGAATGCCTGTTCCCTCTTTCCATGTTTGAGGAGATCTGTAAAGCTGTTAGGAAACGAAGGGAGAAAGTCTGCTCTTCATCGTAGTGAGACAGTGTTCTTAGAGCTATACTGGGAGGCAACACCTTACCCACCAATCTGTATCCACCCTGTTGGTTATACAGCCAGGTAGACAGAACACTAGAGAGTGTGAAGACAGGTTTGAATAATAAAGGATCGCTTCTGTGTAAATGAAGAAAAACTGAATTGGAGACAAATAAATACACATTCAATACCATCAATAATTTAAACAGAACAATGTGAAGGTGTCCAGTGGTAGTGTTTCTTCCTTCTTATTTAAGAATAACCCTTTCCCACAAGTTGCCAGAGACTTGTCCCTGCGACGTTTCCAAGTGGAGTCGCTTCAGGCGGCCCGGGTGCAGACTGGATTGCTCTGTCTGGGCGGTGACTCACTGTCTCGGGGTCACCTGACCGGGCGGGCCGAGCCTCACTGCGGCTGCGTGCAATCCGGGCAGGAGCTGTCGTCACAGCGGAGCGAGTCGCCCAGCGTGCTGCTGTCCCCCGTCCCCCTGCTGTTCCTGAGACAATGCCACCGCAACCCTCCTCTCCACAGTCCGGCAGGCCGTGACGGATACTGGACACAGCTCAGCAGAGCCCACTCGCCTGGCAAGAGGAGTTCGCCTGGCGGTAGAGTCCACGAGAGAATTCATTTCACAAAGCCAGGGGAAGGAGGTGGGATCCAGCTCAAAGTGCTGCGTGCTTTCCTTTGAAGTGCTGAGAGCCAGACGCTGCAGATTAAAACTCCTGTATCAGGGGGCCTGCGGAGGAGTAGAGCTTTCTTTTCACCAAGCGGAAGCCGGGGCTGAGCTTGAGAACTTTGCCGAACAAGTGCCTCAGGCTGGGCCAGTTGTCCTGGTCGGCTTTGAACACCACGGAGAGCTCGAAGGTGGGGGTCACGCTGCGGTCGGGCACGATGCTGCCCAGCGCCCGCACGGCGCTGCCCGTCTCCAGGTGGACCTGGATGACCGCCCCCCGGAGTCCGCACGGCTCGTCCGAGGCCGTCCGCAGCGCGTCCCGCGCGATCCTGCCGGCCAGCTGGCGCGGGATGAGCACCTCCTGGCACTGCAGCTCGGTCTTCTTGGCCCGGGCCAGGCACAGCTCCATCTGCTGGGCCAGCTCCTGCCACAGGCGCTCGTCCAGGGGGTCCTCCGGGCTCCTCCTGTCCACACCTGCAACAGGGCGGAGGGTTGACAGCAGCCCCAGAGACACACGGAGACACCGAGCCTGCTGCTTACTGCAGCCCCTACAAGCTGCTCTGAATGGATATTTCCCCAGTAAGACTTGTGGAACTCTTGGACAAAAAAAACATCTCAAAACGCGAGACCCTGATCTTCCCGTGGAAAACACTTAAAGCCTACAGCAGATCGAGTTTCTTAAACTTGTCACCTCAAACCCTGATGGGCATAACTCGGGAGTCCAGCTTTGTATCAAACTCTAGGACGGACCAAAAGATGACTGTCCCAGGGCGGCGCACCCCTGAAGGCGCAGGGCTGCCCTTCCCAGCCCTCGGTCGCGCTGAAACCGGCCCCAGCCGCCGCGCCAGATAAGATCAGCAGAGTCTATTTTTATCAGCCAGCCCCGATCATATGAGCTGGCTTTCGAAATCGAAGCAGCCGGTCCTAGGGCACTGGGTCAGGTGACGAGGAAACCGCCGGAGCCCACGGGGAAGCGAGCAGGGGCGGTTATCAGCAGATAAGAGCATAAACCACCGGCACCTTGAACTTGTAACTAATTCTGCTGTGCGATGACGGCGTAAGGACCTGGATCCTTACATATATTTAGCTGAACCCTCCATGCACTTTTTTTTTTAAACTGCGTCTCTGTTTTCATTAATTTATATTACCTTATTTGAGAACTGTGTAAATAAAAAAATAAATAAGTGCAGCACATTAAATAGACTCCTCATTTCATCTTGGTTACGTGTTGTACTTGATACACAAGTAACATTAAAAAACAACAACAACAACAACAACTTACCAGAGTCCTCGCTCATCTCTCCTTCACTGGAACAGCCGCTGTCAAAGGGCTTGTCGGCGCACTTCTCCTTTCTCGCCGAGGTGAACTGGTTGACGAACTTCTTCATCGCCTCGACCAAGTTGTCCTCTTCCGACAGGACCCCCATGCCGTGCGTGAAGCCCAGGGCTTGGGAATAGACCATCTCAGAGCAGCGCTGCCCGGCCGCGCACCCAGCGAGCCGCCACCTGCGAGCTGTGCGCCAGAGACCTCGCCGCCGCGCCGCCCGCACCGGCCCCTATATACTTCCAGCTGTTGCGTCAGCTGCCGGCCCGTGTTGCATCTGACCGTGTGGGCTGGGCCGAGGGCGGCGTCCAGGCTTTCTGATATTAAGCAACACCCGTGTAAAGTTTAATCAGCAACTGCGGCGCTTTCAAGAGGAGGCGGCGCAGTGGCGTACGCGAGAACACCAGAATACTGTTGCGCACTCTTACTATTTTCATTCTTTTGTTGCGGAACGTAATGATGAGATTTTATCCAGTCTGAAAAAAATTAGTTACCTTGGTTAAAACGTTTGTTAATTTTTCTAGTGAGAAACATGAGATAGAAGGCAGCCGTAGCTGCATCTGAAGATGAATTTACAGCCCCGCCCCCCCTCAGGTCTGATGTTTTATTTTGACTCTCTTAAAAACTTAAAAATCACTTAAAAGCTTCTTTATATTTCTCAAGAAGAGTGAGGCTTGATTGCTGTGATATTTGCAGTCTGCCCTCCCTGTTTTTGGAGGATACAAAGCCAGTCCTACAGAGTTTCAGCTGTTTTCAGGTTTCTGACTCTATACTGTGTATACTGGACTTCATAGGAACTGGGAGTGGCTCATGTTCTCTTGTAAATCTGTTCCAGTGGAAATCTCCCTACAGTATCTCATACAAGGAAACTGGCCTGGAGTTGGAGTCTCTTCTCGTGTTTTTCGCCTGTTTCGTCTAGACACCGTGAAACAGCCTGAATCACCAGCCAGGTGTCGAATGCATGACTAAGCACTGTTGTTTTAAACTGTTGGAAAAACCCTTCTTCCTTAAACACACCTTTTCAGACTAACAGGAAGATACAATGAAGATCAAATGACCTGAGCTGCCTGGAGACCAGCCCTGTGTCGATCTGCTTGCTTACTGGTGTCAGCGGGGGCATGTGGCACATAAGCATGTCGCTCAGAGTGGAGTTTTCAATCACTTTAAGGATTTTTTCAGTTCAGGCTTTATGATCGTTTGGAGGAAATGTGCTTTGTAGTACAATCCAATAGAACGATACAACAATCCAACAAGGAAACAGGCATCAGCAATGGAGAAGACAGTACAACAGTGTTATGAGAGAGAAAAGAGTCATTTGACATTGTTTGAAAGAGATGAAACAGTTCCTGAGTTTTCACTAATAGTAAAATATTAAAGGTAGAATTGCAGGTTTACAGATCTGCCGTAAGCGTTGTCCTTCCAAACTACTAGGCTGCTTTACCCTCGTTTTCTGGACAGGCTGCGAGGATGAGGACACCCAGAGGTCTTGGTTGAAAACCAAGGAATACAAACCTTAAGTACCATTTCTGTGTACTTGCCTGGGTGTACTGTACTGGTGAGAGTATATTGACCTTGCCTCAGTATACTGTACTGGTGTGAGTATATGGACCTTGCCTCGGTATACTGTACTGGTGAGAGTATATGGGCCTTGCCTGGGTGTACTGTACTGGTGAGAGTGTGCTGTCAGTACCCTGGGCCTCCTGTGACTGATGCAACTCACTGCCCTGGTTTTGTCAGCGGGTGACGATCCTCAGCCCTGCTGACAGTCACGCTGCAGCCGAGGCAGAGCGCTCGCGAACCGGGTGCAGCACATGATGGCTGCCTGTTTCCTGGTCCTTCTTCTCTCTGGAAGATTCCTCTAAACTCCTGACGACTGGGTCCCCCAGAAGTTGAGCCGCAGCTCCGGAGACACAACCTCTGGGAGGGGGGGTCACACCTTAGGGTTACCAAACGTCCGGACATCCCAGCCGACAGCATGTGCTCTTGAGTGAATGCTCAGACACGGGAACCCCAGATTTGAATAGATACCGGTGCAGGAATCACCAGGAATGGAGTATCTTCTTGCGTGAATGTTCAAACACCAGAACCATAGATCTGACACTACATCTGACAGCCATGCCCACACCACAGTGTCCTCCTTCCTGATTTCTGAAATACAGTAGCCCTGTCACACGTCTCACGCACATGTATAAACACAAGACAGTGCACACACACACAGGTCTGCTGCGACCAGGTGTGAGAGCTGCCCCTGTCTCTGGCAGTGCTGGGCTTGCGGGAGCTGTAGGGTGACCCACAGGGATTTACACCCCCACAGCACTGTCCCACGGAGCTTAAATCCCTATTTCTAACGATAGACTCGGCTATCTTTGTCATTGAAGCTCCCAGCATCTGGCCCGGCTGTTTCCTCCAGAGGAGCTGCCGGTTTTTGCCATGTGCCCACTGCTCATCGCCCCCTTTTCAGTCTTCAGCTCTCCTGCACCTCACAGCTTTCCTCTTGTGACCCTGGAGCCTCACTGGCCTGAGACGACAACACAGGAAAGCCGTTACTCTATTCTCCTGGAAGAAGACAGAGCCGCTCAGACACGTCGCGCCCTCGGCCGGCGGCAGGGGGCGAGTGGGTTCCTGCCGGCGAGGGAGCAGGCTGTCCGGCTGTGGAGCTCACAGAGAGGCCTGCACTGCGCCGCGCGCCCGCCCGAGCGAGCCAGCGTCTGCGCCGGCTCCCTCCCATGACTCAGGAGAGTGACGGGGAGGCCCAAGGTGATCAATGTGACACATTTCACGTACCAGGAGCCCGGCTGCCCTGACGCCTCACGGCATTTTTTGCGGTGTTTTGCTCAACAACACGTTGGCCAGCTAAAACTGGTATTAACACTGTCTCAGCTGACAGCTGCTTGTTTCACGTTTGTCTTCCCACAACTCAGTAACTTGAACCCGAGCAGGCCGCGCCTCTTTCCTGTAAAGATGAAATAAGAATAAAACTATTCACTTGATTTCCAAGGTTAGCATGTCCGTACATAAATCTACATCTTAAAGTGTTAAAAGCGTCTTGTTGTATTTTATACCACAAGATTTATAAATGTTATCAGTATGATAAAAAAATGAAAATTAAGAACATAGAAAATTAGAAATGAGAGGGGCTGTGTGGGACATTCAGGACATAAGTGTTTTCAATAGTTAGGTTATTATAATTATTTTGGAGCCAGTAGAATTGTAGACCTCAAGTGTGAGTGGAAAATATTTTTAATTGCCCATTTCTGGAATTCGTTTGAGGTTACTCCTTGACGTACACTTTGGAAATTGCACAGAAAAATATTTTGACTTCCCACTATTGCTTTAGGTAACCGAATAAGAAACCTTATTTAAAATATTACTTTGGTACCATAGTTACCAAGAGTGCCAGAGTGCCAGGGAAGTCAGCTGACATAAAAAAAGCACCGCGTTCCTGTTGTGTGAGAAAACATCAATCACCCGAAGCCCCGCCCTTGCTCATGCCGATCATGAGATAGCTACCTGAGGGCTGAAAACACGAGCAGCAGGAATGTGTTCGACCTGACTTGTCTGTGAGGGATCTGTGCATTCCCATCAGTGTGCTCATGGGCCCCGAGCTCGAGAGCTTGACTCATTGCATACTCTTCACCAAGAGTCCTTTCACCTTTTCACGCCCATCAGGGACGTGCAGTTGCATGGAAAAGGCACAGAAAAAACCTGCATGCATGAACATAAGTGACAAATGCAGGTTTAATGAAGGAACTTCACCTGGTCCTCTGAGCATTTTCATAACAAGCACCTTTCAGGAACATGTTCAAAAGATATATACAGTATTTATATCTGCAGAAATAGCACTAAAATAAAAATCTAAAAGCTAATGTGACACATTTGCCCACCAGTTACTGGTTCTTTGAGAACTTGCAGTGCTAAAGAGATATTAACATTCTTCCAAGATATTCTTCAGTTATTAGAAGTCTCCTTTTGCCACAGGAGTTTCATTGTGTAGCTTTTTTAATTAGCTTTAAAATTAAAAGCACAGTCTTAATGATTGTTTTAGTTCAGTACATAAATGCTGGAACTTTACTGTAACAGCAGCAACAAAGCCCCTTTGTAGAGAACCGGTTCGCTATGGGGTTACATCAGCTCTTTTCAAAAACCCCTTCGTCTGAGGCTATTGCAACTTAGGAAAAATAAACCCAAGTTTGTGAGGAAGAGGGATAAAAATAAATTAGCAGAATGAGAGACATATTCTGAACAGCCGTTATCAATACAGTAGAGTACATTGACACAATTCTAGCACAGCTAAGAGTACAAGAGCAGGTTGCAGAAACATTCCTAACCAGCCCTATCAGATCAGAGGTCAATAACACAGCAAGCAGACTTATCAGACCTGTATCGTTGATCAGGTTTAGACCTAGAAAAGACCTTTAAAGACTGCAGATGCAGAAATTAAAGTAAGCATGCCTCGGTGTTTCTGAACTCGTCCAAATCAAAATTATAGTTAATTTTAAAATAAAGTCAAATGTCACTGGCAGCAGGGAAGCTCACATCAAAGGTTAACATTGAACCAGAAATCCCAATGGTGTTAAATCAGGAATCTTAATGTAAGAAAAGAGTTTCTGTATCCCTGAGCGTTTACATCTGTTGTCCGTCTTTGATCTTTGGCTGAAACAGGGATTAAACACCCAGGCGAAATCCACAGTCCAGGAATTCAGGCTCATAGCCAGTCTGCTAAGTGTTCGCTCAGGGTGGGGTGAGAGACGCTAGATCTGGGTCTGACACAGGGAGGATAAGACTGCCGGCCTCTGCTCTGCTTGTGTTCCGGGTTTATATCGGCAGAAAAAAAACATGTTGGACAAGTACCACAGATGCGTGTAAAGCACTGAACTGAAGCAAAATCTCAACATTTTCCAATGGCAAACTGTAACAGTAACAGTTGTACTCTTCCCAGGCCTGTCCGGCGTGCTCCTTCAGAGAGCAGCAGACAGCTCCACAGTCTGGACCCCTGGAATTCCCCGTTCACACCGGAAGTCTCGGCTGCTCCGGCGTCCCTCCTCGGGTGAGTGCTAGCTCTCCAGCAGGGATCAGCTTGGATATGCTGGCAGCTAGGAGGAGGGTTTGCGCTCTCCTGATTGTCAGGTGTTATGTTCTTTGCATTCCCAGTTTTCACCATTTGCTGTATCCGTTAGTTTCGACAGGGTGTCGATTATACATTTGCACCAATCTTGAAAGTATCAGGTGGCAACAAACATCACTTGGCAGTGTTGAATAGTGTTCTTGTGTTGAATAGTTAGACATTGTGTCTTTTCTGTACTGTACCTAACACAAACCACTCTGTTGCAAGGAGCCTGCAGTGCTGAGCTCAGCTGACATGCAACCAGCCAATTCCAAATGAATAAATACATTTAAAATTTTCCCATCTCATTACTTCCTTGTTCTGCTTCAGACTTTGCCCAGATGAGGAGATGGGATTAACAGGACTTTAACTTTCCAAGCCGCTCATGACTGTCTGGCCCATCAGACAGACCTGTTTGCCAACAGAACAAAACTTGCAGCGATTGTGCAATGTACCTGTTCAGTTTGAGGGTTGATTTTATCAGTAATAGCTTGACAAATAAAACAGCCTGAATATACAAAGGCACAATATTTTGTATTGTGGACATTTGAAAATGTGTGATATGTACTTTTTTTTTGTCAGACAGAGTAACATGTGACTGTCTCGTCAACAATTTCTGCAATGAGAGAGCTTTACATAATTCTGTTAGGACTGACTATAACACAATGTCTACCTAGTAGATTTGCATATCTACATTATCTGGCACTTTAATTGGAATACTATTACTTGCAGCAGTTCTGTCTCTTTCTGTGTTGTCTGTGCTGGGTTTTGTCCAGGCCTTTGAGGAAAGAATTTGGGTATCATGGGCAGAATTTGAGTTTTGCTCTGAGACTTTTGAGTGGCGTAAGTGAAGACAGCAGCCTGTATACTGAGGAAGCAATCAGCAGTGTCACGGTCTGTGTTTACTGAAAAGAGATGAAGAGCTGGACAGAGAAGCAAAGACACTCACAATCCAGGAAGAGCTGATGCTCACCCTATTAGCCCCCAAATAAAATTTGAAAAATCATTAATGACTACTTGTTTGTTTGCACATCCCATTTTGCTTGTACGCTTTTTTATCATTCTTTTAAGGAATCTGAACAATTTTAATTCCAGTGAACGTGTCTTTTTCAGGGCGATCTTTAAGGCACGTCACTCACAGAGCGGTGCCCTTGGACGATCACATACTGCTCCTGTGTCGCACTGACAGCGAGAATCCTCTTGGTGTCTAAATCACTCCCACTTACTCCCCAGGACATGACCTCACGAGCTCTGGAAGCACAGGGCACGCTGTTCTCCTGGCCTTGTCGTGTCTTCCCTAAGGCCAAGGGCAAAGCCCAGCTCAGGGCTGCAAAGACAGGCAGTTAATTGCTTCCTAAATCACTAACACCAACACACCCAGGAGGGGAATCTGATCAATTGACCCAATTAGGCCGGTAATTTGTTGAATGAGGTGCTCAAGAGCTCGGTGTCTGTGCAGCTCACCTGCAGGCGGGGTGCAGAGCAGTGACAGCAGAGACTGCAGCCCATTGCTAAAGCTTGCCTGCAGAGCTATGTGCTCTAGTGCAGGGGCTCCCCAGCCCGGCCCGGGGATCCCCACACTCACTGGGTCGCATTCCAGCTGAGCTCTTTACATCGATCGATAACATTTTTGATTGAACAATTTCCTTGACTGCAATCCAAGTGACAAGTTTTTTTTTCTGATCATAAACCTGAAGATCTTACGTTACTCAGACATTACAATAGTTGGAAGCCATGTGTAGGAATCAACAGAGTTGTCATTAACCTTGAGAGTTCAATTATATGGCTGAGAGCCCAGGGGGAAGGAAAACCAGGATCAGGATTGGGAACGGCTGCCCCTGTACACAGGTGCCCACTCCAGTCCTGCAGGGCCACAATCCAGCAGGTTTTAGGTCTGTTCAAACAAGACTTCATGGAAAAAAACAGCTGAAGATGAAAGTGTTGCCCAGTGTAGCTAATGATCAGCTGGACCTGCTCATCAACAGCAGAGTGGAACCACTTTGCAGAGACACTGTGGCCCCAGGACTGCAGCTCTGGAAGAGGGAAAGCCTCAGCTTCAGCCCCTAACAAGAGCAGAAGCAGCAGCTACAGCCTGAGTCCGCATGGAGTCACTCCACAGTGAGGACACAGTTCACTTTCACAAAGTGCCATCTCGCACAAGAGCCTCCTGCACCACAACACTCGCTAAGTGCAAAACAAACCGACAAACAAACAAACAGACAAACAAATGAGAAGAATATTTTTTCCTTCATGTAGCTTAAATATCCAGTCTGCTCCCAAAGTGCTGATCTGCTCTTTTACACCATCTGTAAGAGACACAAGGACATGAGAAATCTGGTGCTAACTGCTTTTTTCCACCCATCCAGAAAACCGGTTATTCCCGGAAACACAGGGCACCAGGCGGGACTACACCTGGACAGGATGCAAGCTCACGGCAGGGACACACACACGTACACACACACACACACAACCATAACCACAACCACACACAACCATAACCACAACCACAACCACAACTGAGTCACACCAGTTAACGTGGGAGGAAACCGGAGCACCAGGTATCAAACACACATGGGCACGGGGAGCACAAACTCCACACAGAAGGTCCCACATGTCGGAATCAACCTCAGGACCCAAGAGCTGTGAGACAGCAGGGCTAGGAATCATACAGGATACTAAAGGGGCCTCAGAAAAAAGAAGGTGAAGAGAGACGATATTTTCTAGTGTTAATGCTAAAGAGTGAATAAAGGCTGCCACGGTCTACCTTGCTATTGTGCACATCAGAGCCGGGTTCTCCATCAGGGCCGTTCTCCAGGGCTGTGCTGTGAATGGAGGAGATCCGTGGAGAGTCGGTGTCTGCACGCGGGTCACAGAGGAGATCCAACATCAGTTTTCTGAGCTTTGAGCACAATGTCTAACTGCACAACTTGTGAGAGAGGCCAGTTTGGCATTTATGGTAGCACCAAACAGAAACCTGTAGCAAGTTCAATTGACATACAGCAGAAAAAGAAAGATTTTACTGTTGTTGTGTTACAAAATGTGTCACATATCTTATTCCTGCTGTTTAAGTAGATCATTATCTTTAGAATCAGTGTCTTTTATCTCTAGACATGGTTCATTTCAGAAATCAGAATGTCACTGTATTCACTCAGATCATTACTGATCAGAAATATCAAGAAAAATCAGCATCATGTCAGTCTAGGAGCTGCAGATTGCACTTTATAGACATATCTATAAACACATTAACACTGATGGATCCACTAATGATGCATTAATACGTGACATTTTAAATAATCAAGCCATTAACAATTAGTAGGCTAGTTCCTTATAAGTTAATTATATATCTTCTCTCTGTATAATACAGATGAGAACGGAATATAAATGGAATTTGAAACCTAGAATCCCAGAAGCGATACTGAAAAAAATCTACGGATCCCCTTCCAAATTTCAGAGTCAGAACTGCTGTCTGTTCTACCGGCACTGTTTGCACTGTGAAGCATTTATTTCTAGACAGACAGGACTGCTTGCAGCTGGAGGCCATCCCAGAAAATCTGACGACATGGGACCTGGACCGCTGGCGGGTCAGGAGTGTGATGTCGAGGGCAGAGCCCCGGGCTGCAGGCAGGACACCGCTGCTGTGTCTGTCAACAAACACTTTCTTCATCATGGGTCTCCAGTCTTCACTGACAAAGACACTCTGTTCTCAATGGCCGTAGCTCGTTTAATAACGGTTTAAATCGTTCACCGTCAAAGGTCTCCTGGCTCATCTAGGCTCCATCGTCAACGTGTGACGTGCACGGCTTTGGGTCTTCTGGGCCTGAAGTACAGAGTCAGGCTTAACTGCCAGAGGCCCAGATCCCAACAGTGAAAAGAAGGAGGAAAAAGAGCCTGGGATTCAGGGATTATACTGTTCCCCTGCATGCCCTCCGGCTCGTTCCCGAGGTGCAGAGAAGAGCTGATTATCGCGCGGTGCCGGGCGACCAGACCACAGCGAGGGGGCCGTGCTCCTGGCTCTGGGAGGCAGCGTGGGACTCGGGGCCGAGACAGGGACCTTGCTCTGATACATCAAGTAAAAGAGCTGCTGTACCTGTCTCCGTGTTTATTGTCTTCATGGAGACCAGTGTGATGCTCTCTTTCTCCCCATTGACTGTAATGTTGCTAGAAGTAAAGAAAAAAGCAAGTCACACACAGAAGACACCGGTCGCCCTGGTCCAGGAGGAACACTGCGCCTTCTGTTTTGTAATCACAAGCTAATCGGCTTCAGTTTTCTGTTTGTGAAAGACTGTATCTGTAAATTTGCTTTCAGCTCTTAAAAGGTCAGGCTGGATTTATAGTGGTTGTAAATTGTACTGGTAATTCCCCCAGTCTCTGATTTTCAGCGCTTCCCTCACTGAAGTGTGTTGCACCTGAAACACAACCAATTGACAAACCCACCTCTGCAGAAACCCACCTCTGTCTAATACAGGATCACTCCCAATGTGGGTGTAATGCAGGGACACTCCCACTGTGGGTTTGTCTAATGCCAAGTAACTCCCACTGTGGGTGTATCTAATGCAGAGTCACTCCCACTGTGGGTGTGTCTGATTTACAGGGTAACTCCCACTGTGGGTGTGTCTGATTTACAGGGTAACTCCCACTGTGGGTGTGTCTGATTACAGGGTAACTCCCACTGTGGATGTGTCTGATTACAGGGTCACTCCTACTGTGGATGTATCTGATACATGATCACTCCAACTGTGGGTGTCTTATGTTCAGGGTCATCCTCACTGGGGGTGTGTCTAATACAGGACCATCCCCACTGGGGGTGTGTCTAATATAGGACCATCCCCACTTGTTATTGAGGAGTGAAGTTGTTGATGCTAGAAGCAGGATGAACTAGGGGGTTTTGACACTCACACTGAAGAAACTAGTCAAAACTATGAACAAGCAAGCAGATCAAATAAGTTGTTAGTCAGCACTCTGTAGTGCCCAGCTGGACTGAAATCCACAGGATGCACACAACCAAATGTTTTTCCAGAGAAATCAGACCCCATACCTCTCAGACACGACTGAGTCTCCACTCTTCTTGCCTTTCAAAATTAAAAACAAGCATGTTAGAGCAAGTTGCTTTAATATCCTGAAGTGCATGTGATACTGACTAGAGAATGCTAGCATGAAAAACTGGAAGTGAATTAAAACAAAATGTCCTGAATGGATGGCACAACCCATCATCATTTCCTGTCATTTTTTTTCTTAGGTATTTTGCAGCCTGTTGTCTGTGTTCCTGGTGCTTTTCCATTTTTCCTACTGCTTGTTTTTTGCATCTGCTGTTCAGTGCAATAATTTAAAAAACAGAGAGCAGTTAACACAGGAAGGAGACTGAAAAAAACCAAACAATGAAGAGAATCTTAATAATCCCCAAAGATCAGGTGTCCTGTGTAACTGAAGCACAGTTCCACAATCCTCTTTTTGAGGTCTTGAGGGAATGAAGGTCATCGTGAAAAACAAAGATATCATCTTGTAAGAACAGTTTTGAAGCTTTGAAAAACACGACTTTATCACCATGGCTGCTTAACCCACATTCTGACAAGTGTTTAAACACAAACTGTAAATTCTGAGTCTGCTGCACTCATTTCCAAGATCACATGCTTGCAGCCTGGCTGTAAGTATCCTTGAGGCCTGTTGCATGTCTGACACCTATGGAGAGCCAAATTCTTATTCAGTGGTATCTCGAAACGTGTGCCCTGTGATGGAATGGGGTCCTATCCCGGCTGTACCCTGCCTTGCGCCTGGTTCTTGCTGGGATAGGCTCTGGCTCTCCTGCAATCCATATCCCAAAATGCATTTAAAGATATTTTTAAGTATTTGAAGTAATAAGAATGGAAGTGCCCACTAGCATTCATGAAGAAATACCAAGCCACAGACATCAGGCTGGCACCTTGAGAATGAGTGCAGAGGGTCTAGAAACGTCTCACAGTGCAAGCAATGAAAAGGAAAACGACAGAGGCGATGTCGACAGTACTAGAGCAAGGTGTGGCCAGATACTGTACGGTGCTGTGTTTCTCAGAGCTCTTGCCCTGGCTGAGGCTGCTCCTGAGAGGTACAGTATGCTTTCACCCCACCAGCACGTTCTGACCCTTATCACTGCAAACACCTGGAACATCACAACACTGCTCACTCCTGGAATACACTGGGAACTTATATGAACTTATAATAAAGATCAGAATTAATCCTTCTGCTTTCAATAATCACTTGGTTGGGGTTGTATAATTTAATATGTAAATAAACATCTGATTAAACAATGACATATTTTTGTTAAGCCTTCTAAAAGCTTTTGCTGGAAGAGGAAATGAACTGCAGTCGGTAGTAATGCAACATCAGTAAAAATGAAACACAGATTAAATGTATTTGCTCCCCAGGGAACTGCACGAGCAAGATGAGATTTAGCTTTAAGGACTCAATGTGTCTTTGTCTGACGTTCATCGTCAGGCTGAGGCCCTATGAGGGACATCTTCATCTCAGCTTCTGTCATCCTCACTCAGCTTTTCTAATGCAGCAACTGCGGCGAGTTCAGGCCAGGAGCCTTCAGACAGCTGTGTGGCACAACAGTGAGCCAGGTTTTCTGTCCCTCACCAGATCCCCACAATACCTTCGTCCCTGGAGCCCCTGCACCTCCCACGCAGATTGACAGCAGTGACTAATACCACCATGACGATGATGAGGATGAGGATGAAGCTCATCACTCCTGAAATGAAAGGGACTCCTTTGTGTAAAATATGTCTGACTTCACACGCACGCACGCACGCACGCACGCACGCACGCACACACACACACACACACACACACACACACACTCTCTTCTTTTTCTCATAATCAAAGGTCAAAGCTGCACAGGACCTGTCTGCTCAGGACGTGGGGGTCTGTGGTTATTATTCCCATTCCTGCTGAACCATTAACTCTTCAGGCTTTTAATTCTATCTCACCACCACCTCAGCCCTTTACCCTCAGTTTTAAGATTTGCCAGTGCTTTTCCTTTTAACTGACTTCTCCCAGTGAGAAATTAGCACCAGGGCTCTGACAGCAGCAGAAGCAGTAAAGACACTGTTTCCACCTCCTCAGGCATGTGCACAGATAGGTGATCCTCTTTTCAGACTGTGAGCCAACAGCACCTCCAGGAGGCAACAGGCAGCACACAGAGAACACAGCTGAGGGCCAAACAAAGAGGCTGGGAATCATCAACAAGGGCGCACAGCTGTGTTCTCTTCTGGCCTCTAGCCAGCACTGACTAGTGAACTATAATAGTAATAATTGCTTTCTGGACACTCCACTCAAAGCGCTTTACAGGTAATGGGGATCCCCTCCACCAGCACCAGTGTGCAGCCCCACCTGGATGATGCATCAGCAGCCATAGTGCGCCAGTACACTCACCACACACCAGTTCACAGTGGGGAGGAGAGCAGAGTGATGGAGCCAGTTCAGAGATGGGGGTTATTAGGAGGCCATGATGGGTAAAGGCCAGGGGGAAATTCGGCCAGGACGCCAGGTCACACCCCTCCTCTTTATGAGACATTTCCTGGGATATTTAATGACCTCATCCAAAGGACGGAGCCTTTTTCCAGTATAGTGTCCCCATCACTATACTGGGGCATTATAGCCTGCTGGCCCCACTAACACCTCTTCCAGCAGCAACCTTAGTTTTTCCCAGGAGGTCACCTATCCAGGTACTGACCAGGCTCACACCTGCATAGCTTCAGTGGGCTGCCAGTTGTGAGCTGCAGGGTGATATGGCTGCCAGCCTAACTAAAACGAGAACTGTTCTAGTGACTGAACCCTTCTGTAGTGTGAAGTTCAGCCATTGGACTTGTCTAAAGCCAAGGACACAAGAATAGAGGCACAAGCACAGAGCCCCCCTGTCCACCACCAGGTGGTGCTGTTTTGCAATAAGAGAAGGAAGCCCCAGTTATCAGCTTTAACCCACGCAGCCACACATGTGCAATGTAGAAATTTAATTAATTTTGTCCTGCAGCATATTACTTTGTTAATGAAAAGGACAAGAATCCTCCAATCATGGTTGTGGCTCCAAAGCCAGGGTCATTTTGACTCACAGTGCTAGAGCTAAACCCACAAAATTGCATCTTGAGTTCCAAGACATTCATTAGAAAACTGTAGCGCATCACTATATGACAAACATATGTTCCTGTATTTCCAGTCGGATAACACTCCAAAAATCAGAAACGAGATTGACAACTGGAGGTACACCAATGTCTGAACACAGTTGTTCTGTGTCTGAGCGCTCTTACAAATCATCGATGATGCTTTTATTTCAGCAAATCAGTTTGATTGCTTATCTGCTGTAAGATCAGTTTCAGGGAACTGTGTTAGAGTTCAAATACAGACTCTGCATCTGATCTATGTTACCAAAGGCCAGCATGGACAGGCTGCTTGAGGGCTCCTTCACTGCAGATGTGGAATCCTGCCCTCTGGGTGTTTCACTCCCAAACATCATCGGGAAAGTGGTAAGTCCAGAGATTCCTGTTAAATCTGCAACAAAAGAAACATCATCACTGATACCTTCCTTAGGCTACTCTTCATATGAAATCAGTGACATCTAAAACCTTTAAATGCATTTGGGTCTTATTTTTGAAACAGGTTGACAAATGACAATTAGAGGCTTGGTCTCCGCCCACCAGACTGTGATATTAGCCAATTCATTTACATCTTTACATTTAAATTTAAAAAAAGTCTCTATTAATTGTTTTCCCTAGGTAAGCCAATTAAGAATACCTTCTCATTTACAATGACTGCGAACATGTTTACAAATGAGATGAGATGAGATGAATTGCTATTCACATTGGAGTGATGACTCTGCAGTGCACATGTGTTTCTTTGACAATATTTGGAACTTTCTTTGGACTAGTGTTTGTGTTTAAATAGAAATGTTAGGAGGAGAATGTTATTCATCCATCCTTTTTCTAAATGCTTCGTCCAATTCAGCATCGCAGAGGAGCTGGAGCCTATCCCAGCAAGCAAAGGGCACAAGGCAGGACACACCCTGGATGGGACACCAGTCTATTGAAGGACGGGGAAGGCCTGTTAGTCAGTTTTTAGTACGTCACCAAACTTGGGATATTTCATTGTTCCTTAGGAAGACCCTTTCTATACTTTCTTCTATTAAAGGAGCAGAACAGAGAGTCACGGAACTGCCTGGTGGTGGCAGAGTCCCAGCTCTGAATCACTGTCACTTGTCATCAAGCCATTGGCAGCTGTCTGTGCGGTGTGAAGTACTAACAGCACCACACCAGCGAGCACAATGCTGACAGCTTCCTGATTAAACTAAGGTACCCGCTCAGAGGCTCCACGCAGTGAACTCGCGTAGCCCTGCACAGCCAGGGAAACCTGGAGAACACGTTCAATAACAGGAAAGGCAGACGATACAGACGGCCATTGCAGTTGCCGTTGGGTTCACTGCCAAGGAAATGACAAGCCTTATCAGCAGCCATGCGATTACAAAGGAAATCACCTCCTCCCGCTGAAGTGGCTCTGTTTAATGTAGGTTTTGCCACCCCTGCAGCTGAAGTGCTTCTTGGAGATAACGAACCCATTGATGTTGTTGCTTCACTCCTGGAATTTCCTGGAATTTTGGCTGCAGTCAGAAGAAAACAGAGGAGATTTCAGAAGCGCAGAAAGCCTCTTGTGTGCCTTTCAAAGGCACAAAACCTGCACTGTCCAGACCTATCTGCACCTCTGGAGGTGAACAGGTGTCAAACAGAAGAGCTGCGTCACCCCAGAAGGACAATGGGAAGCTTGAACCTGCTCAGTCTTGTCTGCTTATTGAGGCAGAATCTGCTTTTCGTATTTCGTCTCGTTCTGGGTCTTGTGAAGGACAGCAGACACTTCAGTGTTTGCCATGGACTCCTGCCACACACAGCACACAACACAAGAGCACTATGGCTTTACTAAACTATGTGCATCAACTTAAAAATGTTAGAGTAAGTCTGTTAAGCGTAGGCTGATGGTAATATAATCATGCTGCTGTGCGATGGAAGTACTGTTTGTGTGTCCTCAGAAACAGGGGATTAGACCAACACTGAGGACAACATAATATAGAGGACAGACTGGAACTGGCCCAGATCGGAACACAGTCGCCACACAGAGAGGACGTCGGTTTCACTTGCATGAGACATCTGTGGCTAGAACAGGGGTGGTCGACCTTGGTACCTTGATTCCAGGCCATTGCCACTCTTCAATGATCAAAGTGATGAGGAACTGGGCTAATTAAGCAAGAGGCAGATGTACGAGAAGGAAGGAGGAGTAGTGCTCAGACCAGCCAGTACCGTTCGATGTGTGTGGGCTGGCTTCTCTCACTGTAGGTGTTGCTACAGGTCCTGAGGTTCCACTGCCCCGACCTGCAGAGAGAAAAGGACAATGGAAAAGTTTTTTTTTCTGGACATTAATTTGCTGCACATGGCGAAAAAAAACAAGAAGCTTCCTGTGAGCAGGCAGCTGAAATTACATTTGTGTCTGGAATTAAATGAGAAAACCCCGCACAATGCACTAGTTCATCACATTACAAGAAATAAACTGCTGCACCGGAGGTGTCCTTGAGTCTGAAGGAGTGCCCTGTTCTCAAAAGATAAAAGAACTGTTCTTTTACTCCTAATGGAGTCGATTCTGAAAGGTCCCGATACAAGTATACAAGAGGCTTCTTTCAAGAAACAGCAGGATGAGATCCTGGGATCAATTAACTACTAGTGACGATGGGCCTAATGGCCTCCCCCTGTTTGTAAATGTTCTTAGGTTGTTATGTATCCATTAATCATTATGTACTTCATCACAACCAATTCAGCCCAATGCGTGTGAGTGTGACCCCAGGTGAGAATCCTGGTCACAGTCAGCTAAAGCCAAATCTCAGATGGTCTGTGCCTCCGAGGCCGATCTTTCATCTCTGCAGAACTCCTTCCAATAAACAGCAGGAGCTTTGTACAGCAGCACCCAGGCTGAGCTGCTCGTGACAGCCACGCTGAGGGGGAAACTGGGGGACTCCCAGCACACCGAGACACTCCCAGCTCCAGCAGAGCAGGGACAGCTGTGCACAGCCCCAGTCCCAGCTAGCTAACGGGATTCGAACCCTGGTTTGAGTCTGTGATGTCATCCTGACATGTGTCCTACAGGGCTTGATCTGAGCGAACACATTTACTGGCCAAGCCCATAGCTAGAGGTGTCCGTGGATGTTCAGTACGAGGTTATTATTATAAAATGTCACAACAGAGCAGCTCCAACAAACTCATGGGAGATATTTTTCCTTCATTACCTCTTCTCTTAATTATTAATCCCTTAACTTTGTTCTAAAGTTAGGACTTTTCATCTGGTAATTAATTCTCACCAGTTTAAGTGCATTACTGGTAACATCCCTATAGGTAACCTTGCCATAGAAAAACTGATAAACAAGAAAGAGTGCTGTACCTTGAGTTAGTGCAGGTGCAAAAGTCACAGATGTATTACCAGGTGTTGACGCTGATGTTGACATCACTGACAGATTTCCAGATGTTGAAGCAGATGTTGAGGTCACAGACCGATTTCCAGATGTTGAAGTTGATGTTGTGGTCACAGACAGATTCCCAGATGTTGACGCAGATGTTGAGGTAACAGACAGATTCCCAGGTGTTGATGGGTGCAATGAGATCATTTCTGGTGTTGAGGCCACAGGACGCCCGCGTGTTGTCTGTGTTGTCACTGCACAAAGAATCATGGGAGATCCAACTCTAGACGAGTTCTTCTCAACAGCCTTCAGTGCCAGTGTCTTCAGAATAAATGCCACACCTGACCAAACTCCGGGCCATCGTTAAATGCCTTGGTCCATGTAAAATGGCTCAGTCATACAGTAGGTTGGGTGTATATATAAAGGATTAATAGGTATCCTAATAATAACTTTCATTTGAAAGTTACATATCATCACAGGAAGTTAATAAAGCCTAAGATTTATAGATATTCATTGAGATTTATAAATTCGATTTTTTTCTTCTTCCGTTCTTATTAAATTATCAGAAGAAATCACTGATTTGTTCTTGAGCTGTTCAACAGAATCTTTGTGAGTAAATTGTAACAGTCAAATCAACAAAGACATTAGCAAATCTCTTCTTTCAGAAGAGTGATTGACACATACTGTACCTGCTCTGGAAATGTTACTACTGGAGCTTCCTGCATCCACTGGACCCTCAAGACTGGAGGGTTGACCTGAAAATACAGCCACTCATTATATAATGGGTCACAATATAAGGGCAGAAGTACAACTATCAGAGCAATGTCTGCTTCCTGGTAAGGGATCTCATGTATTGAACCTCAAATCCCAGTAAAAGCTGCTCATACAGTATCTGCAAATTTGTATAATTACTGTATTACTGGTATTCCTCCTGTTATTGATTTACAGAACAGACAAAGCCCAGATGACTGTGAATGATGAAAAAAAGGTTTGTAGGGGCTCATCCTGAAAAGCATGCAACTTCTCTTCTGAAAGCTTATCTTTGTGAATTTATCATAGCTATTTGCAGGATTTTGTAGTGACATTGTCCTGTTATCTTTGGCATTTTGTCTTGATTACAGTGGACTGGTAAAGCTGTTCCGGAAGAATGGTTATGATGCAGAAACCTGTCTTACTCATAGATTGGTCTAACAAGCCATATGGAAGATCTTGTGTTAAGCCCACAGGGAACTACAGCAAAAGTGAGGCAGAACCACAGCAAAACCGCAATACTGCTGCAATCCATGTGCCTAGTGAAACTTTCACAAAGGCAGGTCTCTCAGATTCTGGCAGTTTCAGTTTTTAGGTTTTGCTTGAGACACTGGTTGTCTACAGTAAGCAGCAGCTCAAGGGTGTGTCAGCTAAAAGTAGCCATTAGCTGCAAAATGGAAAGTAACAAAGATATCTCCCAGAGACAAACACGATACAGTGTAGGAGCAGCGGCCAACTTCTAATCTGAGCAGATACCAACGCTGCCTTAAACCAGGGGTTTTAACATGTGGGGCACGCCCCCTTCAAGTAAAATGAGAAAGAATAAAACAACGGCAGTAAACATGTTGCTTCAGGGGTTAATAGCAATTCATTAGTCATCCACTAGAGGGGGGTGTTGCAATCTGGAATAGACTTGCCGTCTATTCTCATTGGTAAAGGCTAAAGCAGAGTTGAGACTTTGCATACAACCGGCTCCTCTATCACATGTTAATGGGGGGGGGGGCGCATGTCAAAAAAGGTAGAACAATGCTTACATAGTTCTCAAGCAGATAACCTCAGCTGACTCACTCTGTAAATTCAGAGAGGAACAAGGAAATGCAGTATTTCATTTTTCTTTCCCTATTAGGATTGAATAAGGAAAGATTGATGCCATTTCCTTTTTCCTTCCTGAATCCTGCTGGGCTGGTCCTGGTGGTTAAGATGACCTGAAGGTGAGAGGCCTCCTGCTCTCAGGCAGGTGTAGCAGGTGTTCTCTCGGAGCTCTCTCAGAGCTCATGGTGAGCTCTCAACAATCTCGCTTTGCTACCTTGTTCTGACACTTTGGGAAATATTTTTGGATCTCAGCGGATTCTCTTGCTCCATCTGCTTTTCTCAAAGGCCAGAATCTCCCTGGAGTTGCTTTTCTTCCTGTTAGCTTTGGCTACATCTGTGACATGCTTCTTCTGTCCTGCTCTGGTACAGCTGCCTTGGTCAAGCTGGGAGAAAAGAACCTTCTTTGGCTGCCAGGGCTCTGACATTGAGACAATATGACCAACCCAGCAGAGATGATAGTGGATGATCACAGCTTCAGTGTCGCTTCTCAGAACAGACCTCACTGATGTTGGCCCATCTTTCCTCTCAATGATAGGTAAAGTCTTCCCCCAAACAGCACTGCTTTGACTCCAGTCCTTTAAATGTCTGTGTTTAAATTGTCTGTATTTCAGCCCTGCACTGTAAAGTAGGAATGATGACTGCACGGTAAAACCATCAGTTTCGTTTCACTTTTGATGTCATGGTGGCCAAAGACTGCACTTTGACATTTCAGGTGCTGCTGGATTTCTCAGCCTTCTTTAAAAGATCTCTCCCGACATCTGAGAAGTCACGCCTCTGGATGGGGCTATCCAAGGAAGACTGATGAGGAAGACTACGGTTGTGGGGAAATGGGAGTGAGTGGCAGAGAAGAGATCCTCAGTTTAATATCTCACCTCAAGGAGGGCATCTCCTGCATCTCAGTGCTGTCACCTCAACCAAACATTTGTCTAGTGAGAATTTCAGGATTTCAGGTTGCAAAATGAGGGATATACAGTAATTGTTGTTTCTAAATTGATCACAATTCCCTGAAATCTAAAATGGTCACCACCCAACCAGATGTGACACAGAGATTCCACAAAAATCAAGGGCAGAATTATACAGTACTTATAATTTAATATTTAGGAGCATACAGTATATGTACAAGATAAACAACAGCAATAAAGTTTGAACAAACTATTGAAACTACTGCACAATCAGTAAAACAAACTGCTGTAAATGAGCCCAGTTTACTTTGAAACTAGTAAAACAAACAATGTCTCATGTAGTCAGAATCTCTCTATTACAGCAGTTCCTGTAACCTCTTTCCACCTTCATGGAATAAAACTGTAGTCTGAATAATAAAAATTATTCTGAGCTCCTGGAAACCTGTCTCAACCAGGACAAACAAAGAGGATTTGCTACTAGCAACAGAATGCTGTCTTTACTAGAAATCTAAATGTTTCAGGTAGTAAAACAGAAAAAAAACTTTAAGGAGAGTAAATAAGAATACAAGTTAATAGAATACAAAATGTAAAAACGGCAGGTGTGGGTAAGTCCCGGAGGAATGGATGAATTGTATACCACCCTTTTTCAAGTCAACAGAAGAGAAGATGTTTTCTTTAATCCTACAAACATAACCAATTGGATTTTCAGCAGTTTGTGATTTTTTTCCCCTGAAAAACATCCTATAAATGCACACTACAAGCTGACAAGTGATGATAGAGCAAGCAATATCACCAAAATATAAACATTTTTTTTTCATTTTTAACCGGATAACAGAACTCTTTAAATGCTTCCAAAGGCTACCCTGGCGAGCTACCCTGACAGGCAGTCCAATTAACTAGACGTGAGTATTCTCCCAGAGAGGTAAGAAACTGTAGCTCTGAAAATCCCACATCAGTGTGGACTATCTGACCCTGGGGGCTTAGAAACAGGACAGCTCGTTGTCTATATATATCTATATTACGTCTAAAGCAGGAGCCTAAAGTTCCATCCTCATTGAACTAGGCTACTAAACTGTCCTCGGCCTGGTGTACATACAACCGCAAGACATCTCCCCAGAACTCTGCCTCATCTCTTTGCATCAGAAAGCAGCTTTCCTCCGAAACTGTCCTCCCCTCCTTGTCTGTCAGAGCCTTTCTGGGCTGGGCCTGGTCCAGCTGCGGAGACAGCCAGGCACAGACCCCCGCGCCCCCGGAGGCGCAACGCGCACCCTACCTTTCGCGCCGTGGGAGAGGAATATCCACAGGAGGACGAAGACGCGCAGAGCCATCCCTCTGTCCAGCGCGGTGCAGCAGGACTCCGCGAGCAGTGGCAGCCAGCAGTGCCCAGCCCGGAGGAGGGAGAGGTGGGAGCGCGGCAGCCTTCTCATTATAACAGCGCTTCCTGCTGAAGAATGGGAGGAAGCAGATGGAAAGCTTTTGGGAAAAACTCTGGGAGAATGTTATTC